GGTACATTTATTAATGAGTGGTGGTGTACCTGCTGATGGATCTCTTCAGGGAAAAGCCACCTGAAGTTTGGGTGTTTCACCAGTGTCTGGATGTGCTCTACACCCAGCCACTCGCTGAGCTTGCGAATCAGGTAAATACGGTACCAGTCATTCCCACTGTCCTCACAGAGCTTAATCACCGCATTCAGAAAATCCTCTGCTCCATCTGGCACATTGTTGTCTGCAACATCAGTGGAGTTCAATAGACTTTTTTTGTTGTTGTTGTTGCTAAGCATTGCAAACTGTTTGCAGTAGTGATTTTATATCTCACCAGACAGTCCGTCACTGATGAGCTGTGCCGCCGTGGTGAGGGTCAGGCGCAATCTGGCAATGTGCTGCAGAAGTTGAATAGACACTGTTGCTGGAACAGAAGTGACTTCAGCCAAGCAGGAGGAGAGGAACTGTGTTTTGTCACTGGAAACGTGCAACTGTTCAGCATTGTTGCCTTCATGAGACATTTTCTCCCACATTGAGTCCTGAAAAGACCAACAGTTAACCATCATTCCAACTGGAACAACGACAACAGGTAGCATGTTGTGGTACAGCTACAATCCAACCTCCTGCCCTGTTCAGATACTGCTGGGTAACTTAAAAACTGACTTAAGTGATGAGCATAAATCAAACAACTCTTGTAGACCAAAGCTACTCTCACACTGCACATAAACTTGCACCTTATCCAACACAAAAGATTCCTCCTCGATTGCTGATCCCATTGGTTTAAGCTGCACCTCAGAACAAAATTATAGAAATCACATCAGGTCAGTCTGGTTTACTGTTTTGTTTTTAATCTATTTTATTTCCAGACAGATGGTTAACCCTTCTAGCAGTGTACACACTGTAAAAAATAAATCACCAAGTAGCAGTAAATGGGACACGTATTCTCCTTCAGTGAAATAGAGAGCTACTCTATAAACTCTTATAGCATCAGATTTTGTGGTGTTTCATAAACCGGATTCTGCTTTTTTTTTTTTTGTCTCTTTTAACAGTATTAAATGTAATAAAAAGAACAGTGGTGCTCTTGGTTTACCTCCAAGCAGTTGATGTACAAAGCATACAGCTCTGCTTTATCCTCATCATCCACAAATCTGCTGTCTTCAACAGATGACAAATGCTGCTGCAAATATTCCTTGACTTCATCAAAGCTGAAACACAGTTAGGTTCATCATACACTCAGAGGAGCTTTGCAAAATAAAGTAGAGGTGTTTGAATCGATTCAGACATTTTCTAGCAAACCAAACTTTTTAATGTGATTAAAGCAGCAATGCTGTGAAACTTGTCTGCACTGTTACTGACAGAGAGACACTTTATATTTACCAGACAGCATTACTCAACTATCACCATTTTAAATAACATTACCATTACAGAGAGACATTTAGTTGACCTACCTGAACTTCAGGAGCAGTTTGAGGATCACAGATCGCACAACTGGGTTTTTATCCGGCGACTCGTCAAACGGTGACAGATCTTTGGTGTGAATCTCTTTATGTTCTGGTTTGAAAAATGAGTTCAAATAAATATCAACAAAAATACAGGGTTAATTTATTTTAAAAATATATCATCAAACAGCTTGTACAAGATTATTGCATATAAAGAGAAAGAGTGCCACAACATATGAAATGGTGAAAGAAAGAAATAAATTACTATTCATTTCTAGAGACGAACTTGCATATATTAAAAATGTCCCCAGTAAGAGGCACGTCTTCGCTGTCGCATGCAGTCAGGGGCGAATCAAACTTCTTAAAAATGGGGCTTGTCCTACCATTCAATATTGACTTTAGACTGTTTAGTGTCTGTAAAACAGCAAGACTTACCTTATCCTTCACATTTAATTTTATGACTTTTTAAAGGACAATTTCTTCATTCAAAAGTGGTTCCATTGAAAACTGTATTATGTTCTGGGGATATAGAATGTCCAGAACTCTTTTTCTAGAAAGACATGTAACTGTTGAACTTTCAAAATGTCCTTTTTTTTAATATGAAAAACTAAATTCACCTCCACTGTGCTGATAAAATCTGATAGTCAGATGTCTCACATTAAATGTAACTATATGTAAATAGTCAGATACCACTAAGATTCTCATTTTACTTTGTATCTTCTGTACATTTTGGTAATTTGGATGATAAAACATTTAAAATAAAGATAAACTTTATTGATCCCACAGTGGCGAAAGTTCACCGTTACAACAGCTCCAAAAGAAAAAGTGTAAAGTCAGTGCAAGAATAATTTAGAAACACCCAGTGCAAACTATAAGAAAAAGAAACAGAAACACACTTTTACAAGAGAAAACATTATATACAGATTTTATTTTTCCTGAAGAAGACTATATACACAAGATGAGGTAGTAACAGTTATTGCACATAGTGGAATGGGTTTGTTGGTGGAAAAAGTGTATCAGTAACAGAGGTGCCAGTTAAGTTTATAATGCAGCATTGTAAAGTCTGACTGATGTTGGAATAAAGGACCTGCAGAAACGTTCCTTCTTACACTTGTAACAGTGTAAACAGGTGTAACAGTCTGTCACTGAACGCACTGCTTAAGGAGTTCACAGTCTGATGCAGAGGGTGGGAGGCGTTTCCTTTAATAACAGACAGTTTGGCCAGTGCCCTCCTCTCTCCCACCACCTCAATGGAGTCCAGGGGGCAGCCACAGACTGAGCTGGCTCTTTTTATCAGTCTGTTGAGTCTGCTCTTATCACGCTCAGAGCACCTCACTCCGCAGCACACAACTGCATAGGAGACCACCGATGCCACCAGTGTCGTAGAACGTCCTCAGCAGTGGCCTGCACACACCAAATGATGCAAACCTCCTTTTTGTGCTTTAAATGAATTTAAAGTACAAAAAAGTGTGCCTCCATGAGGCACTGTGAAATCCAAAAGATTATTACTACAGCAAATGCTGCCCACTAATTTTATTTATTTTTTTGTAATTATTATTATTATTATTTGTATTAACATACATAAAACAGGCATGTCTCTGCACCGATCCAACTAAAGTACCTACAGTAATTTATAGTAAACTGTGTTTTTAGGTAAACCATCTGTTGCCTTATTTTTGACCTAGTTAAGTGATTTGCCAGTTCCATGCTTAGAGTAATGCCACTCCAGCTATTGTGGCATTTCAGCAGAAAAACTGAAAACTAGAAATCATGTTTCAGAAAAAGTGGTGATGTTGCAACACGAAAATCCCCCGTGCTTGCAAGCAGTGTCAGAGTTTCATAGAAAAGAAAGTGACACAAAAAAACAGTGACATTTCTTTTGATGCTTGTTGTGAGTTCTAAGGTAAGTGGTACCTGTCTCAATCCTCAGGTAGGACAACAAGTGGGTGATGACGTTTCGGCTTGGCGGCGTGTTGTCTTTGAAGCACACAGTGGAGAGCAGATCAATGAAGAAACCATTGCAACGTCGCCTCAGTTCTGCAACTTTCTTGATAGATGCTCTGCAGAGTTGCACAGACCAAATGCAAACAACAAATGGGCATTAGTGTACATTCAGCACACGAGCCGCTTGCTTTCCAACCAAGATCAGGTTGCTAATTCAAAAGGTTGGATCTGATGATGTATTCGTATGTCCTTTGTTCATGCTCAAATGCCTGGGTGACGAGAACAGACGTATGCACAATATAAAATCACTGATATAAAATCACTGATCACAGTCACACAGCCCATTCACTCATTTAAAATAGCTTCTATACACTGCACAATACAAAAACAGACTCTAGTGCACTTAAAGGTCGGGGTGCAGAGAAGAAAAGCCAAGAATCAGGATCATAATATCAAGCAACTATACTGTTCACAGTACTTGTCCTTAAACATGAACATGGATTTTCACAGGCACTGAATGGTGTATCAACAATTTAAATANAAAACTGAAAACTAGAAATCATGTTTCAGAAAAAGTGGTGATGTTGCAACACGAAAATCCCCCGTGCTTGCAAGCAGTGTCAGAGTTTCATAGAAAAGAAAGTGACACAAAAAAACAGTGACATTTCTTTTGATGCTTGTTGTGAGTTCTAAGGTAAGTGGTACCTGTCTCAATCCTCAGGTAGGACAACAAGTGGGTGATGACGTTTCGGCTTGGCGGCGTGTTGTCTTTGAAGCACACAGTGGAGAGCAGATCAATGAAGAAACCATTGCAACGTCGCCTCAGTTCTGCAACTTTCTTGATAGATGCTCTGCAGAGTTGCACAGACCAAATGCAAACAACAAATGGGCATTAGTGTACATTCAGCACACGAGCCGCTTGCTTTCCAACCAAGATCAGGTTGCTAATTCAAAAGGTTGGATCTGATGATGTATTCGTATGTCCTTTGTTCATGCTCAAATGCCTGGGTGACGAGAACAGACGTATGCACAATATAAAATCACTGATATAAAATCACTGATCACAGTCACACAGCCCATTCACTCATTTAAAATAGCTTCTATACACTGCACAATACAAAAACAGACTCTAGTGCACTTAAAGGTCGGGGTGCAGAGAAGAAAAGCCAAGAATCAGGATCATAATATCAAGCAACTATACTGTTCACAGTACTTGTCCTTAAACATGAACATGGATTTTCACAGGCACTGAATGGTGTATCAACAATTTAAATATGTCACCTTGTGTCTTCAGAGACATGTGGTTGAAAGTCATTTGGTAACTGTTGCCTGCAGCTGGGACAAGATGTCTGTCCTGCATCAAGGCTTGCTTTAATGCATGTTAAGCAGTAGATGTGATGACATGGCAGCTCCACAGGTTCCTGAGGTTCTCTCATGCACACCCCACACTGAAGTCCAAACCTTAGTGGACATGTGTGCAATGTCAGCGAAAATAAGTTCAGAGCTAAAACGCATTCTTCGCAATATCATTCCAAATAACTGGAAGGTTAAATAAAAGCCACACAAGCCATTACCTGAACATCTGATCCACTGCCTTCTGTTTACAGGATTTCAGTACTTCAATTACAGCTTGAAAAGCTTCCATAGCTTTCACATCTGAGTTTTTCTCCAGAACCTTAGAAGTAGGTCAAAATCATAAATATAACAAAACAAACAATAAAAATATTCTGGTGATTTTTATCTTTCTTAAAAAAAAAAAATTGGCTGAACTTTGTCACATCATGACTAAACAAAACTGCCTTATAACAGATGGGGTAGGCCACATTGCATACGTCTATTTTTTGTAGAATATATCTGTAATAAAAATGTACTCACCCTGCTTAAGGTTTTAATGTGATCCTGGGCCAGTAACCTGAGCTGACTGTCTTGATTTTGGAAACCCAACAACATGTGTTCCACAAACAACGAGAGGATGTAGATGCGCTTCCAGCCATTGCTAGAAAGTATTACAGACCATCATCAGAGTTTATTTGTTGTACAAATATATGCAAGTTTAACATAATCTAGGGCAGCACTTTACATCTGTACAGGGTTTCCCTCAAGACACCGGTTAGCAGAGGTGACAGTTTAAACAACCAACAACTCAGTCATTAAATGCGAGGCCCTTTACAATATGTACCTTGCTCATTTCCCCTGAAGTTTAATAAGGTGAAGAACGTGTTTCTAAAAAAAAAAAATAATAAAAATTTATAGCACAAGCGCTCTTTGTTTTGGGAACATGGGCATCTGGTCAGAAAATTTAAGAAGGAAATTCAAAGTAATTAAATCTTTAGT